TAAAAACCTCTTGAACATCTGGATCTTAAGTTATCAGAGAAAAAATGGTGAGCACACATCAGCAGGTGCTTGGCTTGCGTCCCATTTCTGATAAGCCACCCACGTTAAAGAAACGATGATTTGTAATGCAAACTGTTTTATGTAGGGTTTTTACTGGTCCTAATCCCCTGGTCTGTTTGTTTTGGTGAGGATGAGACCTCAGTGGATAATTTGGCTCCTGGTAAAAACCTCCCAAACAATGAACAGAAGTTTCATCTGGTTGCCATCTTCAATCCTCACCGCTAGATGCCACAAAATCCCTGTGAATCTAACAAACTGTTCCTTTAAGGCTGTGGCATGGTATCAAATGAGCCATTGTTAAAGTATCTGTCACTTTAAGTTGCTCTGACATATTTTGATATTTATCATGATTGCTGAAATTGGTCAATCGAAACTACATCATTTTAGGAAATTGTGATGCATTTTCTTAATTACTTGATAGAAACTAGGCCTTTCTGCAAACTGCAAAGTAGTCTATGAAATAAGATTAAAGTGCAATATATATTCCACTTGTACAAATATTGAAGTCTTTTTCCATGGTCCATATGGTTTTCAGAAATATCTTACTCAAGGAGGGAATTGATTAATGAGATGGAAAGTAAGTTTTCCAGCCTCAATGTGTTTTGAAGTTTTGAATTTTTGCAAAAACAACAACAAGGTGTACCGGACTGTCATCTGTGAAATATTTTCCATTGTTATACTTAGCTGCGGGAGTGAGTCTGCACAATATTGTTTTTAAATGTGAGTGACCGCAGAATTCTTTTGTTCTATTCTCAGTATATTTTGAAAGATGGTTTTCAAGTGATATATATGGTTCACCATTCACTTGTTTTATGTGGTGCACATCATCAAGGTTCAGAAGTTCTTCTGGCCTAAATGTTGCCAGATGCAAATTTGATTTTAATGACCTCTGATCTGATGATGCCAGTTTTTCCCGCTCTTTCCACACTAGCATAATCCAATAATACTGTGGTGTAGCTAAACCCTTCATACCCATCAGTAGACAGAATCAAACAGGTCTGTGGCCAGCACTCTGAGATTGTGTAATATTTATACTCGAGCAGATATCCAAGGAGCTCCAAGATGTTTGGCAGCGTCCTGTTTCAAACATTCACAACAGACAGCTGGCCTGTGAAGCAGAAAGAGGAACTGTTAGTATGAAGAGTTTGTGTATCGTTGTGTAAAAGAACATCGTCAGTACAGACAGAACCCCTGCCCCTGGACTTGTTCCATCCAGGATGCGGAGGACAACACTGACAGAGTGCTGAGTGTACAGCTTTTAACACTGATCACGGTGCTCTCTGCTGAGCTTGACAGATCAATAAGACAGCCAGCACAGCAGGCCTCTGGGAAGGAAACATCACAGCAGTATCACTGTTGAACCTATTAACAGCGACAAACATTGTAACATGAGTATGACAAGGTGCCCGTTTGCAACTTTCTCATGTTCCTGTTTAAAAAGCCTAATTAACTGTTTGGGTGGTGGGTGAGTGGGCACATTGTGTGATCTGAGGAACATTTAGTAAACTAGAGAGCAATTACAACTTTGATGACCAAACAATGAACAAATCAAAGACCAAATCATTGGAAAATTCAGACTGATCTGATAGAGTAAGTACAGTCCCTCACCTGCCCTTTAATAATGATAACATTGACAGCATCAGTCTGAGACACTGATGGTTGGTCTGTGTTAACATCTAGTCATCTAGATATCCATTCATTTTCCATAACCACTTAAACTGGTGGGGGTCGCTTGGGGGCTGGAGCCTATCCCAGCTGACATTGGGCGAGAGCCAGGGCACACCCTGGACAGTTTGCCAGACTATCACAGTGCTAACGCATAGAGACAGACAACCATTCACACTCACATTCATGTCACCAATTAACCTAGCCTGTGTGTCTTTTGACTGTGGGAGGAAGCTGGAGTACCCAAAGAAAACCCACACTGCCCTAGGTTCGAACCAGGAACCCTCTTGCTGTGAGGCGACAATGCTCTCAGCAACTCAGTGGCTTGTAAAAACCCCAATAACGACTTTACTCCCCCCTGAAGTTCAGCTGGTATGATGTGTGCACTGAACTCATGGCGCTCCTCTACAGCTCCACGTTGGAGTTAGTCATCACCTTCTCACTCACTGGCTTTGGTAATCTATTACATCCACTGACTTTCTCTGGCCTCTGTTTGGAGACAGCTGTCTCTCCCTCTCACCCACACACTGCGTTCCAGGTCCCCCACGCCCTTTTTGAGTTCCTGAATCACCCACAGCTGCATGGCTGTTCACCCACACCTGACCTGCATCCAATTGTCAGCGGAGCAGTATGTCAACCCCCAAGACCAGTGTTCATGGCCTCTGGCCACTGAGCTGTTTGTTGGGCTGTTGCTGTGTTTTTTCTGGTAAAGCTCTGTGTTTTGATAGACTAGTAGTAACTAACCTTTGTTTAATCCAGCGGTTCCCAACAGGTGGGTCACAGTCCAAAAGAGGGTCGCGGGCCCATTCTGAATGGATCGCAAATGATTTGCAAACATGTCAAGTTTGTAAAAAACACACTTTATTTTGAAGTGCAGTGAATTTCCAGCACAGAGCTTTTATTTTGAAGTGTTGTTCCCTGCTGTAGAATGAGTGACTAACCAACAGCTACTTCACAGAGACAGCAAACAAGCTCAACGACATAGCCAAATGTAAGTAAGATGCTGAATGTATTAAACTGTGTGGACCTTGAACTAATGATTAAGAAGAAATCTGGACCCTGTGGCTGGACCATTTAGTAACCACTGGTTTAATCAGTATGAAGCCTCCATGCTGAGTAGCTGGTGACCTATGGGAGGCCTTGTAGGGGTTCTCTGCCTTCTATTTTTGCTCCACTCCAGTCAGGGAGTGTAACATTGTCCTAGTGTTTGGTTCTACAGGTTAAGTTAGTTTTATTTTTTTAGTTAGTGCAGGTTTTTTCTTTTATTGGGCCTTGGAGGCCTTGGTACCATATTAGCTTCTTATACTTTAAAGTGTTTCAGTAGCCTTTTCTGGTCATTTTGGTACATTTATTGAAAGGTTTAGGGAATCTTGTTATGTTACCCCCTCTGTTTCCCTGAGACATTTAAGTAAAGGTCATAACATCATCCCTCAAAAGGTTACATGTTGTTAAAGTGGCCAGTAAGATAAGTGGTGTTACACTGTCTAATCAGTCTAATATTGTCTGCAAGAGAGCAGTTTCTAAGGCTCAAGATATTTTACAACGTCCTCTTGATCCTCTGCATGGAGAATTTAAGCCCCTACCCCCCAGTTGCAGAGTCAGACCCCCGAGAGCCAGGTCTAACAGGCTGAATAAATCCTTTATTTCTGAGGCCAGTAAACTGCTAAATGGTCATGATGTCCTAACTGATGATTAGTTACCCTTTTAACTACTGGAGGCTGATGATGATGATGGTTTTAGAGATAATATACTCTGGGTCTCTGATTTTCACTTGTTTTAAAATGTTTTTTGTATCAGATGCCTTTGTCGCTGTGTTTTCTCTGTCTCTTTTTTTTTTACCTGGCTGCAAGACAAGTTTCCCCTCAGGGACAGAAACGTTATAGTTGAAGTTACTTTAGTTTATTTACCCAGTAGGTATTATAAATCTCTTTTTCAAAGGAGCCCTTGAAATGTCATATCCTGCCGTATTTTTTTGGTGGTGTGAAACAAAGATTTCAAGAGGCATAAATTTGTTTACAGAAAAATGCGCCTGTTTCCATGTTTCTGTTTCCAAGTTTTACTCCTACACGGGGAAATAGTGAAGAGATTTTATCTCCTGATCTCCCCTCTCCTGCTGATGGTGAGTGCAGGTCAACACGGACCTCTTAACCTAAATCTCAGGCAGACCTGTGATTAGCAAGCTAAAACGATCAGCTCTCTGTTTTTGAATTTGTGTCCAGGAAAGTGTCAAAAAAAAAAAAAAAAATAGGCCAGTTGGAGCACATGGAAGAGGACGGTTCAGGGCAACGAGTAGAAGAGGTCACAGCTCTGCTATCTTTTCGACCAGCCTTTTGTGAACACCTTGAAGGCATGGGTGGATTATGAGAGAATGGGCCCCTGGATACAGATATGCAAAAGGTCCCAACACCCATCAAACACAGGAGAAAGAAGAAAGTTTTGTGTCTTTTTGAGGTCATTTTGTGTCTTAATTAGTTGTTTTGTGGCTCTTTGCACTTCCTTTGCATCTCTTTCTTTCTTTTTTACAGTGTGACATTTTGCAGATGAAGGCCAGGGTGGCCCTTGTGTTGTTGGGCCTCTGTGCTCAGTAAGCTGACCTATGCTGCCAGCACAAAAAAAGATCATCTGATCCTCTGGCTCATGACAGCATGGAGTCTTTATCAGCATGCATTTGGTAGATAGCAGGGAAGCACCTACCGTATGACAGGTCAAAGGTCAACCACAAAGCTAACACAGACAGATGGAAATTCCCACACATGAATGAATTACAAGACAATGACTCCTCCATCACAGACACTAAAAGGAGCGTCTGACTCTGCCTAACTCCTTGCCAAAGTTTCCTGACACAATAAATCCACTCTGATACTCCTCTCCACAAGTATTTTACAAATACTATAATGTACTACATAAATATTCTATCCTGTGGTGCAGGTCGTATTTTATTATGTTGCTGCTGTACAGCTCATCTCGATCTAATCTGTCTGTCCATGCTGTCCTCCACGGTGTCCCACTGCCACAGCAATTTGTCTTTCTTCCATTGAGTGGGATTTGGCTGCTTTATATGAGCTAATGCTCTGTATGCGGCTGATGAGAGTGCAAGCCAAGCACAAACTGTATATGCCAGTCAGTGAAATGTAAACTTTCAGAAGACTTCCCCGTCTGTAGAGAGGCCCCCCCCCCCCATTACATTAAACCACTTAGCTTTATGGGATTATATAATGTTATATAATTTATTTCAACAGCAGAGATTCATCCATTGATTGGGTTCAGGCTAAATGTCACAGACCTGATACCGTCTAAAATGGAAAGAGAAGACGTCACTTTTTAGCTAATTTCTGTGATGCATGAGTATTTTTTCAAGAAAGCATGAATGCTCAGTCTTAAGAACGGAGGAATTAACATTCAATATCTTGTTTAGATTATACACTCTGTTGTGGATATGGTTGCCATCGGCTTCAGGGGGGAATAAAGGACGGATTTCGGTCTCTTTTATTTTAGGGATTCAGTAATTAGATGTAAAAACAAACAGAGTAGCTAGACAGAGACATGGTGTCATTATCTAAAACACACTTTTGTCGTCAGGTTATATTGCATCATTGCAGGCATTCTAGGTCACTGCGCAGCTGAGCACCCTCATCCCGCACCAGGATGAGGATAGCTTGTGATAGTGCATGTTTTCTTATGACTGATGTCACTTATGAGATTGTTTTTTACTTAAATCCTCATTATACTGAACTGACTCTTGCAGTAAGCCCAATTTGGCCATGGTACTTGAAATACAACTATTTCTAGATTCTGACAGTACAAACCTTTGACCAAACAAGTCAAGGTCTTTATTTGCAGAGACAAGCTTGACCCACAGGGGCCAAAAAATGTGTTTCTGAGCAGGCTTTGTGCGCCCTCTGCTGACAGGTTCTGGGACATTCGCTTCAGCTCCATATCCAGGTCTATCACACTGGATGTGATAAGAATGAGAGATGCTTATGCTTAGTTACAGTATAGCAAAGTGCAATGTAAACCTATTTGCATATGTCAGTAGTTCTATTTTAAATGCTTTCCAGATATAGCTCTAAGTTTTTATTTATCCTTGTGATGTGTTAAATGTTATTAATTCTGTTTCATGTGTTCCTGTATGAAATAATACTCAAATTTTATTCATATTCTGTTTCATACAAAAGAGCAACACTGGATAAAAAGATGTATTATTAAATGAAGGATTGTTGTGGCATAACTTTTGTTGGTCCAAGTGAACAAAACAAGTTTTCCCTCATTAGTGAGGAACATGCAATGTGTAAATATGTGGCTGTGTGTTTATATGATTGTCTGTGTTCTATCTCATGCTCATAACACCCCTCCACTCCACGGTTTTTTGTCCTTGAGGTGTGTTTTGGTGTGGACAGGTGTCTCTGGTATGCCGTGGGCCAGTTGGCAGCATCACCATGTCTGTACACCTCAGTGCCAGTCTGTGGGGGCAGCAGGGAAGCCACTTGAAAGAGCTGTGTGAGACAGACAGACATCAGCAGTGGCATTTAGCACATGAGGGTTCAGTGTCTATCAATACATTTCAATTTCATGTCAACAAAGTATGATGGTGAAAGACAGTTAGACTTGAAAATCATCTACATTGTTGCTCATTTAAAAGTAAATGCTGCTTAGATATACAGTGCTTTATAGTGGTGTGTGTGTTCAAAACTTTTGTGATAGTTTGAATTGTAAATACTCACATGTTGAAACGTAAGAGATGAGAAAGCTTAATGCTGTGAGAGCTCAGTGTAAACATACAATTACATAATGAGAGAGTCTTGATTATGACACCAGCACAAACTCAGTGCCGTTAAAAATGAACATAATTTGCATTTTCAATCCATTTCTTGCTAGTACATACTGCAACAGTGTCTCCTACCTGTACGCAGTCCCTGTCCTGTTTATGGCTCCCTCCCTCCTGCAGCAGGTTGTCTCTTCTGCTTTCACCCAGCAGCTGTGCTACTTGGAGTCTCCACCATCTGCCAGGCCACACTTTGCAGGGGAGGCAGGATCGGCAGGAACACCCCAAATCTCCCCTGCTGCTCACAGGTTGCCTCTTGTAGCAGCAGATGGGCCTGGAAACGCAGATGTCGAAAAACCTGAGAACTCTCCGAACCCAGACAGTCTGCGAGACAAAGGTAAGAGGACATACACGAAGCAGGAGAGCACACCCTGTCAACAAAAGGCTATCAATGTAAGGAAATCAGGGAATAATTAACACTGACATTGTTCAAGAAGGGCAAGACTTCATTCATATAAGATCATGAAGACAAGAATTGTGTAATGAGTAAAAAAGACATGAATGAAACAAAGAGATAAGGTTTAATTGCACTGTATTATAATTACGTATGATAATAAAAATGTGAGTATAATGTTTTGCAGGCACAGAAGTTAAGTGTCTGTTATTGCACCATTTTTGTTTAACAGTGATTAATCAGAGTATCAGCCAATTATGTTGAGGGAGTCCTTTGCAGTTGCCAGTATACCATTGTAAGTTTCCTTTTCTCCATATAAGATGACAGATAATGTAGTAATGAGTTGAAATCCCGTTATAGATCTCTACGCGGCCCTCACATCCAGCATCTAGTCTTGGGCAAGAGTGTTTCCTGAAGTCTGTAAGTTGTTATTTTTAAATCAGAAAAGAATTTATTTTCTGGCCAAAGCAAGCAGTTTTATTAAGATGGAGGAAAAATTAAACCATCAAGAGGCTCCTTTCTGGCAGACTGTAGGAAAACAGAACAGGGTAATTTTAGTTCCAGTTCATAAAATGGGATTTAGCTCTTTAGTTACAGGAGATAAATAATTATTGCTACTACAGATGTCTTTGTTTTGCTCTGTTAGCCAATAGGAGATGTCGTTAAATCATCAAGCCAAAGTATTATCATTTGAAATAAAATATCAGCAGGAAACAGTATAGTCCCATGTATGTGTAAACTACTTTTATATTGTGGAAGAGCTTTGTTCGGTAATTGTAGTCAGAACGGAGAAGTTTCCCTCCATCCTGTATAGGTACAGTAGTGTTTTTCACAGTAAGAGAGAAGTAGAAACTTTTTAATGGTGATGATTGAAAAGAAATCAAAGTTCTGCAATAATCCCAAGCCTAGTTTTATGGAGGCTATCACTGCACGGCTGTGGGGCAGAGTTGAATCAATCCAGGCCTCAGGCCCTTTGGTCCCCCAGCTTGCCTCTACTGCTTCTGCCTCAGGTAAATGGGCCATTAAGTTCAGCAGGCAGCCACCTGACTGTCAAGAAGCTCACCACATGCTATATATTATAGTATTAGAGAAATCTCAGTGAAACATGCTGAAGCCAGACAACTCAGACTAAACTAAGGATGCAAAAGGCAAGGGAAATAAACACACACAAGAGAGAACATCAAAAGAAGTTATTCTTTGTCTGGTGCGATGGATGAGGACATGTAGCAGAACTGAAATTACAATCCACTGTCTCACTCTCACAGACTGACTGGACTGACCTGGGGCAAAGACAACAATGGTTCTGAGGAAAGTAAACTCTTTGTCTGTGAAGTTTGACCAGCTCCTCCTGGATTCTGAAAGCCACTATAGACACCTGTAATTCTGCACTTCTCAGGGGGATCACAGAGTCGTTACCTGCTCAATAAACATAAACACATCCATTCTTATGCAAAATATTTCAGCATGAAGATTACTGTAAATACCTGCAACACTTAAATGGACAGTTCAACCCAAAATCAAAATACATATTTTTCCTCTTACCTGTAGTGCTATTTATTAATATAGATTGTTTTGGTGTGAGCTGCCAAGTGGTTGTAGAGATGTCTGCTTTCTCTAGAATATAAATATAATTAAAAAAATGTAAATGATAGCTAAAAAAAAACAACATTTGAAAAACTCAACAGCATTGTCTCTTTTCTGAAATCATGACTCGGTTACTCAAGATACTCCACAGACCTTGTTGTGAGCAGTTTCATGTAGGAGCTATTTTCTTTCTGCTGAACTAAACCCGCCAACTGTATTATTGCACAGAAGGAAGCGTGCATCTACTCATGGACAAGAGGCTTGTGCCAGTGCTAGATGTAAACATTAATGGCATCCTCCTCAGCTGAGCTGTAAAGTTAGCTAGCTCAGTTGTGCTAGGTGAGCAAGCAGTAATAAAAATAATAAAAAACTTTATTTATATAGCACCTCTCAAACAAGAAATGCAGCACAAAGTTGCAACAGTGTGAAGCGTAAAAAGAAAGAGTTTCAGACCTGTATCAAGAGTTAAGTGAACAGATACATTTTTAGCTTTCTTTTAATTGACAAAGGCTGCATCCCTGATCTTCTTCTGGCTGTTGCTGGATGTAGGCGCACACGTCCTTGTGCATGGTGATGTGGTTAGTGGGTGTAGTCTGGTAGAGAGAAAATAGTTCCTACATGAAATTGCTTACAACAAGATCTCTTGCAGGTTATGACTTCTAAAGAGACATTGCTGTTAAGTTTTCAAATGTATGTTTTGGGCACTTTGAGCACCACAAGCCGAGTGCCATCTACACCCATTATATTTGAGAGAAGGCAGACATCTCTACAGTCGTTATTCCCAACACTCAGCAACTTACAAGAAAGCAATCTAGACTGATAAATAGCACCACAGGTAAGAGGGAATATACGCATTTTTGATTTTGGGGTTATTGTCCCTTTAAATCAAATAGTAACCTTGGCACATAAATGATGGTGAACTACAAAAATGCTTTATCTTTTCTTCCTTGAAGAATGAGATTGTAATAAGATAAAAAGCGTCTTGCTGCCTCGAGGAAAAGATGTTCTGCAGATTGGGTTTGTAACAGACCTACACACCAACACACACAGGCTTCATGTCACATACCAAAAACCTGAACTGACAAATGCAAACACTGTGTGAAACAAAGTACAAAGCTGCTGTTACATTCTTCTGCACTGACAGAATCTTAAATTCTTTAGGTATTTGGTCCTCTTTGTATCCTGTCTTCCATAGGGAGGGTACGCAACTCTGGAATGTGTTTTTCCCCTTCCACCAGCAGGAGGAGTTGCTGCTTCATGGACTGGTACACGTCTCCCACGCAGGCTGTCTTCTTGGTGTTGATGTCATGACTCCTAGGTGAGACCAGAGCTGGGAACTGAGAGCAGCAAAGCATAATGTGAGTTCACAATGGTCTCAGGTGATACCGCAATGTGGGAATGAACCTTTCCAGAAGGTGTGTAAGTGTGTATGTGTGGAGGGAGATAAATGGGGGGATGAGGAAGGTGATGATGCTTCTAGGTGTATGAGTGCTTTGGCACTCGGAGAGCTGCGAAGGTTAAAGCAAGACAAGGCAGGTAGAGGAGGTTTTTCATGGACCTGGGGTAAACAATGATGGATGGAGACCACACAATCCCAGTAGTATGTGCTGTAGTGGCTCATTTGCCAATCATCTAATTTATTTCTGTGCGTTTCTTTTACATGGAAAAGCATATATCTGGTTGTTATTATGCATTTGAAGGTAATTGAACATTGGCACACAATCCCAGACCTAGTGGTGCAATTAAATGGGCTATGATTAGATGGGGTCCCTCGGCTATTTTGTTATTTCTAAGAAGTAACTGAATCCAGCCCACAGCTAGACTCCCCACACAGTTTAATGGCTGCCTGTCTAAAATGTACCATGTATCTTCGTCTCTGGTCTTAATCCACATGATGTTCAGAAACAGGTAAGGGATTTTTGGCTGGCATGTTTAAGAAATATAAGGGTTAACTCCTGATGCAGAACTTTTTATCTGAGATCTTAAGCAACGGCGTTTTACCTGTTGCACACTGGCCTCTGCCCACAGAAGCACGCCGATGGACAGAGCACCCACTGTCTGTCCCTTGGCTCTGTGACTGCTGATGCAGTCTCTCTCATTCTGAACAGCTGGAGATTAAAGAGAGGAAAGAACCATCAGAGAAGTTTCTTGGCTTCTCCAGACTTCACCTCTGCTCTCCACTTCTCGACTCGCCTCGGCTGCAAACATCTCCCGAAAGAAAAGACCTACTCTTTGCCTCCACAAAGTCCCTCTATTCTCTGTGACATTGAAGCTGCTGTTCGTGCTAACATTAGCCATGCCAAATGTTGCCTACTACGCAAATGTGGCAGAAATTAGAAAGAAAATCCCTTTTTTCAGGAGCCTCCTGACGTGTGTCTGTTTTAGGATCCTAGTAGTAGTAGTGTAGTAGTGGGGAGTTGTGGCAATGTGGTATGATTGGGTAGAAAAGTGTGTCTTACATTTTATCCTGGGTGTATAAATGCTGTGACTAATCTCTTTGTCTCTTCATTTTTCTTCTCCTTTCTATTACTTATCCACCCAAAGTTTCTCCCTGATAAAAAAAAAAACAGTGATTGTGAAGATAAATATAGAGACAATATTTTCTGATCCATCCTTTTAAGTATGAAGTACAAAGTTGTTGAAACTGTTTAAATCCTGTTCATCCAGTAGACCTGTGTTTATTTGATATATTTTTATTTGATATTCTGATGTTGACAGAAGCTTCTAATATTTGCTGCTGACAATAAAAAGTGGGCGTGGGTGCCTGGATGCTTGATGGTGTGGATTATGTTTAGTGGAAGAGATGTCATCACATGTTGATGACCCCTCTGCGAGAGTCATTAGAAACAGAGCAATCTGGATGGCCCCAGACTGATTCCAATATGGCTCTACAAAGTCAGACAACAGGGCCGAGTGTCGGAGTAATCAGTCATCAGAGCTGTCCTCTCAGCAACCAATCAGGAGCGTATTAATCAAACTAGAGGAGGAGAAGGAGCGGGAGGCGCCCTCTGCGCTCCACTGACATGGTCCTGCATGACAATGTCCCAAATGAATCTTCTGTGGAACATCAGGAGTAAACAGTTTCAGGGAGTGTGCTCGGAGGAAAAGTACAAAATGACTGGCTGCCGGAGGAGTCTTGTTTAATGCTTTACTTATGTGTTTCTACCACAGCTGCACTCCTGGCTTCATTTGAAAGTGATATTACAGCATGTTATGCAAACCAGGCGAATTAGCGAAGTAAACATTTAAATTAGTAGCCTTGGCCTCCACTTCAGGGGGTTGTGAGCAACATCTTTCCAGAAATCTGCAGAGCAAATATTTGCCTATGCTCAGCCATGTTAATTATTCATGTAGAGGCTGTTCATGGCTCCTCTGATAGCATCTCCTTGCTTATGTGTGGGAGTCAATGGAAGATAAGATGTACACACTGCACATAAACACACCCATTGTTACTCAAGGCAGACACACAAATATTTTTCTCTCTATTAAACCACCCCTGATCCCTTGTCTTTTCATTAAAGTGGACATGGCATGTTCAGAATACAAGGTTCTTGTGGTTTCATTTCATTTTAAAATTTTAAACACTGAAGGTGCATTGTATTCCAATAACTTCCCTTACTAATTCCAGTCTTGAAACATTAATGGAGTGACGACACTGGTTCTTTTTGTCTTAGTCCACAGTACACTGCCTGTTGAATCTGAGAACGGACAGTGTACAAACACAAATGCACACACTATTTAACACAGCTGTTGGATTATATTAAAAGAATCCTCCACAAATGCAGCATTGCACGTTTTGTCTGACTCACATTTAAAAAAACAAGCTCAAAATCTACATAGCAGAGCTAAAGATATTGTTTTTGCATTCCATGCATTCTTCTTCATTCCTCCCCCAAAACCTGGTGCCTACATTACCCATAATGCAACCCATCCACTAGCCATTGGCAGGAGCTAATGTAACCTTGAGCCACTAGCCACAAGCAAAAATGAGAAGAGGGCTACAGAGGTCTGGTAAGCTCACTTCTTTCTTCAGCCCCAACTGATGCTGACTCAAGTGATATAGTTTGAGGCAATTTATTAAACTTCACACTGCTCCCACTGAAGCCACAAGATACTTTACAACTTTTTTCACAAATGCAGTAGTACTCCACAACACCTGTAAACAGACTGATGTTGGAAATCAGTGGAGTTCCTCTTTAATATTTGTCAGAAGAAAATTACACATGTTGAATATTTTGAGGTTTAGAAATAATTCAACTAATATTATACTTGAGCATTTACATGAATTGATCTGGCAACTCACCGTGCACTCAATTGCACACAATTTTAATGCAAGCTTGGACATGACAGAATCTGATGGCTCAATCACCTGCTCACATGGGAAAGTAAGACCCTACAGCAATATCTCACCATTGATTTAGAGTCCTCTGTCATTATATGTATGATATTGTTTCCATGCCTGGACTAGTCCCAGTGACAAGGACCTTCAGGTTGCTTTTCTATTACCAGGTGAAGTTTCTCCTATGATACATCTCACAGTGGGTGATAACTTTAACACCACAGAATAACCTGTTACTTCAACTTGAATAAACATCTGTTTTGAATTTTCAGCATTGTTATTTCTGCTGGTGGATAGTGGCTGTAACAAAGACCTACCTGTGATATGATGGTGGATATTAAAGATCCAGTGTGTAAGATTTAGGCTAACATATTGGCAGAGATTGAATATGATATAATAAGCATGTTTACTTTAATGTATAATCACCAGAAAAAAGGAATCATCGTGTTTTTGTTACCATAGAAGGAGCCATTTATAGCTACATAGAGAGCGGTTCTCTACCACAGAGATTGTCATGTTGCACTGCCATGTTTCTACAGTAGCCCAGAATGGACAAACACAACACTGGCTCTAAAAAGGGCCATTCCAATTTTCAGGTTTTTGCATTTTTATATTGACCGTCATATATACCAGCCCGTCTGTGATGAGCAATGCTGGAAATACAAAGTTTTTTTTTTTAACTTGACACTGCTTTATTCAGTGTTTTTAAAGGTTTAGATTACTTGATAATTCAGGTCCTGGTGAAAACCTCCTGAATGTCTGGATCAGAAATAAGGTAAACACATTTAGTTAGAGCAAACATTAGCAGGTGCTGGGCTAGCAGCCTGTCTCTGATGTGCCAAAAAGCATAGGAAATACACTGATTTGTAATGTGGAACTGTTGTATTCAGTGTTTATAGCGGTTTGTTTTGAAGAGAAGGAGACCTCTGCGGATAATTTGGATCCCAGTAAAAACCATCTAAACATCAGGCACACACAGCAGGTACTGGGAGAGTGGCCCATTTCTGACATGCATGAAACTGCTTTATTCAGCATTTTTAGTCACCAGGGGTCTCATTTATAAGACAGTACAACAATCCATACTAGAAATGTACGTACAGACAAAAGCCAAAAATGGCATGCCCCAAAAAATATTCCACAATTTCTACAGGCTTCCACCTGATCATCTGCGTCACCAATTTCCCATCTCCAAAATGTTCGTAAGCATCAGCCAAAGTTTCTTCCATGAAGTCTGCCTTTATAGAACACAACATTTGTGTGGGAAATGGTGTACACCACTTTCAGGCCTCGTTCTGTGCGTACGCAATGTTTATAAATGAGACCCCTAGTTTGTTTGTTTTGAAGAGGAAGAGACCTCTGCCGATAATTCGTCTCCTTCTCCAATCTTCACTACTAGATGCCACTAAATCCCACTAAATCCTATAAACTGGACCTTTAAGATAAAAAATGAGTAAAATGTAGGTGAATAATGATCCGTGGTACTGAGGAAGCTTCATGCTGACTCACCTATATTTGTAAGTCTGGTTGTTGCAAATGCTCCTCCTAAAGAAGCCCTTGCAGCCATCACAGCTGGATGCACCATAATGTTTCGCTGTGACCCTGCCTGCACATATGGAACAGTGAGTCCTTCCTCCATCGGGCTGTGACAGTGATGAGGTGAGCGGGAAGTATGTCAATATAAAGATACAATATATGGAGAAAATAGAAAAAGTTTGAAAAGAAGACAAGTGATAAACATGAGCAATGTAAGGGAGTAGGATTCTCTATGACCTTTAAGACATGGACCTCTTTTATTTGGTTGCTAATGAATAAGTAAATACCTCTGAGTCTAATCTAATAAGCCCCACAAGCATCTGAGACAGATCACATAGCTGAGAGAACATCAGCTTTGTTAAGAGCAGACAGGCACCTTGACAGAGACGATCATTCACAATCCCTTTCATCAGCGAAGGCACATAATGAATCTTTTTCCACCTCTGTGAACAGAAATAACCTTGTACATGGACAGAACTTTGCAGCAAGGTGTTGATTGAGAAGTTACAGCCCTTTAGGAATCGGCTGAGCACTGTTTCATAGGTCTGGTAGGACCAGTGGAGATGATAATAAAAGCAGGGTTATAGGTAAAGATATCACTGCTCTACGTGGCTGCCAGTGCCATGGGCCGCGGAGGAGCACTGCTACTTATTACTCAAGAGGAAGAGGAAACTCCCCATTTAATTAAAGCAGTCAGAGGTCAGCAGCAAGCCAAAGTCCACTACTCTCCTCTGGCTAATTTTACATTCAGCTGTCTGTTTAAATTTATTCTCCTTCCATGTTACTCTAAATTGCATCCTGCCAGTGTTTGATTGCTGCAGGATTGTCTGTCTTAAAAGCACTGACCATCAAATACACATTCATGGTGCAGTGTTCCTGTGCTGATGCTGGTACTGTACAGACCGCAGGCTATAATGTATGTAAATTGCATATTTAGTTTAGGGAGATGAAGCAGCTAGGGATTACAATTTAACAAGGAAAATGCTTTCTGTGGTCAAAGATCAGTTAGATTGAATTAAGAGATTAGAATACATTTGCCTTGCAGTTATCTGGATTTGAAGAGCGGCCTGTTGGTAAAGCTTCTTCATTTAAAGTGGCAAGGAAAAGGGCCTGATTCAACTCAGCTGAGCCCTAATTATAATGATGACAGAGGATAAGATTATGGAGGAAATTAGATCAGAATGTAAACTAATGTAGACTGCTGAAATGATTAGTTGAAGGACAGAAAATTAATCTGCAACTACTTTGATTATTAATTTTTTCATTTAAATTATTTCTGAAGCAAGAACGGCAATATGTTACCTGTTTTCAGCTTCTCAGCTGTTATCATATCATTGCAAAGTGTCTCTGGGAAATTCATTCATTCATTTTCTGTAACCACTTATCCTGTTAGGGGTTGCAGGGAGCTTACCAGCTTATCCCAGCTGGCATTGGGCGAGGGGCAGGGTACACCGTGGACAGGTCGCCAGACTATCACAGGGCTGACACATAGAGACAGACAACCATTCACACTCACATTCACACTTACGACCAATTTCGAGTCACCAATTAACCTGCATGTCTTTGGACTGTGGGAGGAAGCTGGAGTACCTGGAGGAAACCCACACACTGAAACAGGGAGAACATGCAAACTCCACACGAAAGGGCTCCCCCACTACTGGTACGAACCTGAAACCCTCTTGCTATTAGGCAACAGTGCTAACCACTGCACCAACATGCTGCCTCTCTGGGAAATTGTGAAGGCCAATTGGTGGATCAAACAATTAATTGACAAAATATTCATTAGATAAATCAGTCATTTGATGCATCTCCAACATGGCTCTCTCTTTGAGAATAGTAAGTGCTGCTATGGGCATAGATTTTGGGGGACACATAGGGGACATGTCCCCCTAAATATTACACACATGAATTTGGCCCCTCCTCAGTAAAAACATGAAAACAGCAGAGGACTTTTATTTTGACAAACTGCTAGAGGGCAACTTAAAGACACAACAATGCCTCCAGTTAAACAGGAGGTGGCAGTACGGAACCTCAAAAGCAGTGGTTGCAATCTAGCCTCGCGTCACCAGGCTCTTCACGTATGGGGAAGAGCCTGGTTTCCATTCACTCTGAATTTTGTCTGGATTCTGGTTCCGGTCTAGAGAATCCGTAATTCACCACATTCACCAAAGTAAAAGTGTTCACCAAAGTAAAACTTTAAATTCTGGAGCACCATTGATTTACAATAAAAGAAAAAGGTTAACTTAATGGCTTGGGGCTTTTCTTGTAAATTATTTTCTTTAAATTAAAAAGCTTCACCACAGGGTGTCGGTAGTGTAGTGGATAGTGCCGGCACCCCATGTACAGAAGCATTGCCTTGCTGCAGTGGCCGTAGGTTCGAATCCAGCTCGCGGCCCTTTGCTGCATGTCAGTCCCCACTCTCTCTCTGTCTCCCCATTTCACCCTCTCTCCTGTCAATAAAGGCAAAAAGCCAATAAAAATAATCTTTAAAAAAAAAAAAAGTTTCACCGCATTTTTATTAGCTTGGTGCTTTTATTTTGACGGAAAGGCGCATCCATCGAATTCCAGATCCTGTCTCTCTCATCCTGGTTCCGGTTCCTTACCAAAATGGCCAACGGCCCCAGACCAGTTGCAATCTGCTGTAAAACAGGAAGAAGATGAAGCAACTACACAAGGTTGAAGCAGGAAGTGGCATGATATTTACACCATAAAGTGATGCAGATAAGGCACATATTGTTGCATAAAAAATCACCAGAAAACTTCTTTGAGAGGACCCTCACTTAATATGTGTCTGCCCAAATGTTGCATTGCTTCAGTGTCTGGATTAAGTGACAGCTGATGACGCTCAGGAGGCCTTTGCTTTGATCAGGGGGATCTAGGTGATGTTGTCATCAAATCCGTCGTACTGGTTCATAGTGGTGTCAGCATCATGTTTAAATGTTCACTGTCTGTGCTGCAATGAGTGTTCTTACTCCAATTTAAGGACAGTCCCAGTAAGCTATGTGGTTCAAATTAGGCTCTGTGGTTTGAAGGGTTTTGGGACTGGTTGATATGCAAAACTGGATCCAATACCTTTCCTTCTTCACAGTTTTTGGCAGCTTATGTTTTTGTTTTCTCGATCCACTCCTTAGGTGTCGAACTTCTTCATAATGGCACTTGTAAGATTTTGCAAGCTGCTCCCTGATGGTCCACTTCAGTGACGACTCAGTATTGAAATCTGGCCCCACTGTCTATTTGCTTGTCTCTTATCAGTAAAGCATACACAGGAGAGAGTTCAGAGACAGGTTAAACTCACTGTGAAGACCAAAAACAGATAAGACCTGTGAGAAAAGACATGTGACTAACATGTAATATATTCATGACTAGCTCATTTTATCAGGAAGATAAATGTCATCAAAAAAATAAAAAAGTCAAGTCCAAAGGTTGCATGCTGGGATGTCTTATCGAATTTTTGCCGCACATTCACACCGTATTCTCTTACCTTGGACAATCAATACGGCACAGAAGAGTGATATAGCACAAACAAACACAGCGGGAGACTCTTTATAAGAGTACGGACGATGGCTGATTAACCTTACCTTTAGTTTTAAGGTAAGTGATATTGTACAATGCCATCACAGGGGGTGAAGGTGACATTTGCCTTCATTTTTTTTTTTTTACCTTTTGTTTGTTTTTTTTCCCATCCCCATAGAGTATTTTACTTTCATGATGGAGAGGGACTTCACTCAATTTTTCACCTTTGCCCTTTGGAGCATGCCATCAGATCTTTGGTGTTATTGATTAGTGCTGGAGTCCCACTACATGTTTACAAATAAAGTTAATCTATATCTCTTTGATTCAGATAGCACATGTATTTGAGATAGTTTGGTTGTCTGTTCAGTCACTAGTGAAACTCCAGATAAGTCATTATGGCTTAGCAAAACAATTTGCTCTGCATTCTTCAGAAAACTCAAACATAGATTATTCCCAACAAAGATCATTTTTAATTGAAAATAAGTTTGTATTTATTATCTTTGTGATAAAAGGAATAAACTCCATGGCATCTAGGAAAATGATGGTCAAGTTCAGGATGAAAAAATATTTCATGACATCATATTATAGATCTTATGGATATGAAATAATGTGTGTGTGTGTGTGTGTGTGTGTGTGTGTATTGAGGCAGAGTTTTGAAAAAGTGAAAGACAGGGATAAAGGTGAACGTGGTGGTCATACCTTTTTTTTTTTTTTTTTTACAAATTATTACAAATTATATGTCAGACCACATATGAGCTTTCCCCGTACTGATATCCATCATACTTTGGTGTAATGGGATTTCCTGGGTGAGAAGCACTCCTTCCTTGAATGTCACGCTAGGCCGCAGGTCAGACCTCCCCTGGCAGTGGCTCGCACACTCAAGCTTTGTTTAGGTGATTGATAGATCACCAAAACCTCAAAGAGGTATGAGGACTGCAGAGTAGGCGCCTGTGCTCTGAGTTTCTATCAGGAAAGGGTTAAAAATGACCCATGAATATTGATTGTCTGGCTTGTGAATCTAAAAACGTCACCTGCAAAATAAAAAATACATGTTACACCATGAACTGTGTACTACAACTATAAGCTACACGTTTTCAGCTCCCAAACTTTTATTTTCTCCTTTTAAACTCTCAACAATTTTCTTATGATTGAATATAATATTAATCTGTTACAACAAAAACTAGTACATTTAATTCTGTCCATCTGTTTTAATCGATTCCCTGTGGATGAGGAGATCAGTCATACAGATGAACATCATTCAGGATGACAGGACAGGATTTTCTGTGTCCACTAGGGGGAGATAGAGTACAACATATCAGAGCAAACCTGCCTCACTTTAAAGCTGTGCAGCAGCCAAAGCTCACTAAATCACTGCATCACCAAGGTAGTTATAAAACACTTTCATAGCTATAATCTATTTGATATTTATTTGTTTGCTCCTAAACAGTGTTGGCTTTTTGCTTTCCTACTCGGATAATGAAAAAGTGTCAGGTCAGCATCCATACAACTTTTAGTTTAAATAAATGTGAGCATCCTTTTTTTAATGTTAATTGATTCATTATTGAATTAATCAAACATATCGAAGATGTGTTGGCATGATCATGATTCTTTGTCCTGAATGAAACATTGTCAGCTTATATGCTTACTTCCTAGTATGGAGTGGCACCCCCAGAAAATGTTTATAGGGGTGGCAATATGGGGCCACTGAAAATCTAAACTAAATCAAAACTAAAAGTCTTGACTGAAATTAAAGAGTTCGCTTATGCTGTTGTAGTATATAGGTGAGCTGAAAATGATGTAAGTATGGACAGTTGATATACTTTGGTTTCTTATTTTACAATTAATGTCAATTAATGTTGATTTTCAAATACTTCTTATTGTTTTTAAATGTTTTAATGGTTTAGGTAATTAAGTGTATTTTTATTTGTTTTAAGTGTTATTATTGTTATTGTCTCCCCTTTTTTAAGAATAATGATAATAATAATGCCGTCCTATTTTATTTGGTTTTATCATGTCCTGCTGGTTTTTATGTATGTAATACCTTATTATCTTATATGATATTTTAGGTTTGTCATGTATGATGTATCTTAAGCACATTGAGTTTATGCTTGTCATATGAAATGTGCTATATAAATAAAGTTGACCTGACTTGACTAATTGCCTGATGTGCATGAACTAATACCAAAACAGTTAACATTTTGAGTTCCACAGCAATCATGTTTTAATGTGTTATGTATCTATATATGTTACACGGTTCATTGTTCTTCAAATAGGCTGGTTATCCTGTTTCTCAAAAAGACAAACATATAGCTTTACTTTAAATGGATACATTGACTATAAGGAACAAAACATTTACTTGGAACAACCCTTCTCAAGTTCAGGAGAGACTCATGGGTACCCAGAGGACCCATTTTCATTCAGGTACCTTGAGGTGGGAGTTCAAGAGACTCCTTGGGAAATGGCGATGCCAGTTGATCCCTCGCCAAAAGGTAGCCTAAATTTAGAGTGATATTTAGCCCCCATCCTGACAGGCTATGCCTACATGGTTGGCACCAATGGATGTCTTTGGTTGCCTAGTTTCACAAGATACACTTTCACTAGCTTAAAAAATGAACCTGCCGAACCCTCTTAAAGGCAGTGAGGGCCAGTGATCGTATCACCTTGGGGGCACCACTGCCAGCGTGTCCTGTATTTGGGTAAAAACTCTCCAGAAACCTTCCTTTCATTTGTTTGACTCCTTTGACTTACATACTGTAGACTTGTTATTGGCTTTTACACATTTATATAAAATGGAAAAGATGTTTTTCCTATACTTAAAAAGGAAGAGCAAAAGCTAACCATGGTGAAGATTACATGTATGCAACTATACACCAAACTACACTGCTACAACTACAAGCTATAATAACATTACATTTTCATTTTGTTTTACATTTTGTCAAAATAAAACAATAAAGCCTGCAATGTGTGTACAGCATCTTGCATTCATCACAGAATGCAGTACACATAAAGACAAGGACATTCATAAACAAAGCAAAGTCCATTGTATAGCAATTTATCACACCTCAGGAGGAAAAAACTCAGTCTCTTCTCAGGCCTTCTCTCCTGCCCTGACATACTGTCTGGCTGCAATCTCTGAGCTCTGACCAGCTCCAAGTGTGACCCTCAGTCACATAAATAATTTATGCTTTTCCAGAATTACAATAGAAATGAAAGAGCGCCACACAACAGATACAGGTTAGAAAACAGTAAATAAATGAAATAAAATATTCTGGATATGTCTGCTCTTTAGATAAGAGCAGTTTCTGTGGAGCATTTCTCCAGCCCAAACAAGGTCTGACACATTTGTCTCAGTGAATTTGATTAATAAAGCTAGATCTTAAATCTCCACCTGAATACCAATGCAATGATAAACCCTCAAAGATTAATATGATGTACAGTACGAAAAAATGAAGCCTTTGGAGTTTCATTCAAAAATGGGGGGTAGAGTAAAACAAAGCAGCAAAAATTGGTCATAAAAGCATGGTAAGCGCATGATTTAGTGGGGCGATAAAGAGTGGAAAGGTGGCCATTCATCATGGAGGCTAGCTCACCAGGAGAGGGCCTGTCACAGACACCACCAGGTCTGGGAGGCATTTCGAGAGAGAGACAGAGAGAGAGAGACTCCAGTTGCCCCCCACAACCTGTTTGTCCCAATGTCTTTTCCAGATGGACACATACAGACCTCAGATGGGTGACGAGCGCTTTGTCTTTCCTGCTCTGCAACTCCATTGTCACAGCAGCGTTGAGGGATGGATGTTGTTAACTGCAAAGTAGAGGACCAGACATAGGAAAGCTTAGAGCTGCAGGACCAGATGATGGGAACAGAAGAAGCTTTACTGTGGTAACACCATATTATATTATAACAATACAGGGCCATATACTGAAAACATCCACCCTCATCAATGAGCTGCAAATGTCTCTTGAAAAGGACCCAAATTTGGTGTGCACCTAGTTGCAGTCTATAAGGCACATCAACAAAACATCAAAGAACAAAACACCAAATAGATGTACAGTCATTTGTTGAAAATAAACCCACTTACATTTTTATTATTGAAACAGATACCTTTGGGTCACTTGAAGCTCCATGAAGAATTAATACCTTCTCTCAACACCTGCGGTTGCCTTAGTGTTTCTGGGTATGTTGCACTGGAGTAACTATTAGAACCACACAAGCAAATCTGTGCGTCACCATACATGAGGATTCATTTATCTCTCGAATACATCATACATCTGTCTTTTTACTCAGCTACAGCCACTTTGACGAGGTCCATGAGAAAATTCCAGAGAGAAGTGACTGATTTCTATGTTCAGTGTTTTTTTTAAACCAACATTTATTGTTTGTTGGCTACTTTCAGCCCAGTGTTTTGGTTCTCTGGACCTAGCTGAATGTAATCAGACATTTTTAGTGCGTTGCACAGTAAGGGTTTTTACAGTTTCCCAGTCTTTTGTTCTTTTGTTTACCCAAACAAAGTTGACCAAGCTGATCTATATAACAGAAGGCTATGAAACATCTTCCAATTTTATCAGAATATTTAGACTCTACATGTTTATGTCATTTATGTCCATTTTTTTAACACTTTATTTTTTATTGTTTTAACAAAATGTTATAAAAAGGCAGCGAAAAAAAAGAGTACAAAACAAAACACAAACAAACAAAAATATGTACAAAAAAGCCTGGATTGCCCTGTCTCTCAAAACCTATTCATCCTATACATCATATATGTTATTCACAACTTTCAGCCATTCATCTTGTGTTGGTGGTTCTGCCTTGTGCCATCTCTTCCTGATGGCCTTTTTACAGGCTGCCAACAAGATTTTCAGTAGGTATCTGTCTCTCTTAACACAGTTCCTCCTGTCATGCTGCCTAGCTACAATACCATGCGTAATCTACTGCAGGTATATCATAGCCCAAAATTTTTATCATATCCATGTGAACATTAAACCAAAACCGAACTATGTCAGGACAGAGCCAAAATACACGGGTATGATCCGCATTTATTGCCCCTATGGCCATAAAAAATAAAAAATAAAATAATAAATAAATAATAATAATAATGAAAATAAAATGATAATAATACTAATACTACTACTAATTAAACCAATATTAATAATAATTCTTTTTTTTTTTAATGTGTTATGTGCAGTAATGTGCATGTTTTTTTAGCCTCAATTTCAACAAGCGAAGAGAAACGTCACTTCCGGTCGTCATCTTTGATTTAATTGAGACAGCTGCGACTTTTCAAAGGAGTTATAAGTCTTCTTTATTGTGCAGACGGACACAAGTTTGTTTCAGAAGGACAGCAAAGTCTTTGAGAATACCGAAAAATGTCTTCAAAACAGCGGTAAGTGTTGTCAAACGACCCGCGGGGTTTACAAAGTTTAATTTGGGACACCTGCTCAACACTGACAGCCATGTTGCTAGGTAACATTAGCAGGTAAACCCCACGTAGACATTTAGCATGCTTCGCTTCATCATTAGCTGACACTGTAGGCTAGGCTAACAGTTGATTTCAAGCTAACTTATTGTTAGCAATATAGACTCGATAAGATCTATCTATCTATCTATCTATCTATCTATCTATCTATCTCTGGTATAAGTATGGGATGATCAGTGTGACAGGTTGCTTTGCATAGACCTACATGAGGTAGGTGTATATGACAGTATAAATATTGATAGTGATAATGATGATATTAACGTGAAGAAACAGTGAGTATGTAAAGTATGACATAAGTAATGTACTAGTGAAGTGGATGCTTGGTGTTTTGGGGTGATTTCTAAGAAATAGTTTCTGACACTGTGTGACAGGTGTGAACTGTTCACCGGAGAAGAAGCTGTTCTTTGGTGTGCAGTGTTCTGTTGCTCCTACCTGAAGAGAGAAGTTTGAACAGAGGTTGTGTCCAGGGTGTAGTGATGAAACCTGCCCATTTCCTGACTCTGGACATGCATAAGTCCTGAATGAAGGGCAGGTTGGCACCAAAGATCTAGTCTGTTCCTGTCAGACACAAACTCATGTTATACCAGGAGTTGTATTGTTGTGTTTTATGTTTTTGTCTTCCAGTGGTCAAAATTGGTTAATGCAGATTTTATGACTAAAAACAAAACAAGTAAAATAGAGGTGGCTCACAGTGGATGTACAGATCTTCAGTCAAAGGGCTGTGGCAAAAGGGTCCATGTTTCCTGTTATTCTGTATTATATAAGAAACCTTTTAAGAGCAACTAAAGTTCGGACAGAATTAATGTTACGCAACGGATGGGGTGGGTTAAAAATGTTTTTCCCTTATCCACCATATATATCCGGCATACTGACACAACCACTTTATCCTATTCAAACAATACCCACAACTTGGACTAAATTTTATGAAAACCCTTTTGATTCTTTTGGCCTGAGGACCCTTATGGACTAAAGGAATATGAATAATTTACAGGGTAATCGAGGAATGGACGCATAATTTGAGATAGCCAACAACCCGGTTTTACTATCCGAATAACTTTTAGAAAAAATGAACTGCTTGGCAACCAGACCAAGCCTCTACTTGAGAAAGGCCTTGTTGATCATAGGGTGTAGCCATATAGAGCGAGCAAAAGAGACTAGGCTTTTAATTGAAGTTTTACTGTAGTCACTGAAATGCTATTGAAACATTTACTATCTAGACATATAAAAACTTTGAATTTTCAACCAAATTTACGACTGTGTTGATATTTTTGACATGCAAATCACCAAATAAAGGCTTTCTGATCAAGACCAATGAGTATGCTAAAAACAGGAAAATAAAGGCTGTCTTTATGGAAGTAGGCTTGGTTGATTTGAACGTATAAGCCATGAGGTGATAAAAAACAATGCACTGTTATAAACGTTACTTTTTGGTTGGGCACAATGACTCTAAAGTCTTGTCATCACTTCGAGGTTGACAGTCAAACAGATAGTGACTCCAAAGTGTTGCTGTGCTCGGCCAAGGAATAGTCCGGCACATAACCACCTATAAAACCACAACATGTAGCTTTTACACTTCAGTTTGTGTTTAGATTAATACACCAGATTTTATGCTAGGCTATGCTGACTGTCTGTTGACTGTGGCTTCATATTTACAGATATGAGAGTGGTATGGATCTTGTCATCTAACTCTCAGAGTAAATAAACACATTTCCCAAAATGTCAAACTGTCCCTTTATCTGGACTCCCTATACCAACAAATAGCTGCCCATGACCCTGCACTCACCAGAGATTGTTTGTAAGCCAATCCCTCTCCAAAACTTTGTAATAATAGTCGTAGGATATTGCAGATACTCTTGGCAATATCAGTATAATTCACAAATGCAGTTTATAAATACAAACCTCATGAAGTATTTTGCAGGCTTAAGTTGCTCCTTGCCACTCTTTGATACTGATGAAACAAGTTAATTGACATCAAAGCCCAGTACTTCAGTCCTGTGGCCCCTAAAGTCAGAGCTGTTATAGTGATAATGCCCTTAGATACCATTTTAAAGTCTCAAGGTCATGGTGTCACTTTGACCTTGAGTGCTGTAGATTAGGTAAGTTGAGATGTGTGAGTTGAACAAACCACTGCTAACAGAAGTTGGCTCAAGTGGAGAACCCCTTCTGCCTGTTTCCTTGTCAGAATTAATAAAACAAATCTGTGCGTGGCCTTCTCAAGATGCTTTCATATGCCACCATCTGTTTTAGGAACTTTTTTTGGGTTATGTAAACAGGAAACCCAACATCCTAAAAAGCGTTGGGGCTTTGTGTGTCAGAGTTAGTAATAGTTTGACGCTGTATCTTAGTGTATCTGCTGTTTCTAAAGTGTCAGTGTAAAAAATGTTGTGTGTCCACAACAAATAATAGAGAAACATACAGAGTGCTGTGAAGAATGATTTAAAAAAAAAAAAAAAAATCCCTTTTCCAAGTTCCTCCGTGAACCAGCATTTTAATTAAAACCACTTGTTCCCCAAACCTGTACTTAATGTTCCCCATTAGTCATGTTTGAGGGATTACAGGCAGCACCAATGAAAGTCAAACATTAAATGGAAAATGCAGATGTGTGAACAATGCGGCTTGTTTTATAGCTATCACAGCTTTTTAGTAATTTTGAAAAATTAACCGGCAGTGACAGGGTTTCTTAGGTCCACTTACAAATAAACATGACATTCTTCGTAAAAAGAAAAATCTGGAAGAAGTTTCTTGGTTGTGGGTCAGCAGGGGAGCTCCTCAAGGACGTTTAAAGATTTCTCAGAAAACATTTGATCCTTTTCAGTCACATTATCAGTACTGCCCAGTGGAACCTGGAACTGTTACACCGGATTTCCACTGGATGCGTGTCCGTTGCGGAACGGCAGCGCTGGTTATCCGCTGCGTGCTCCGCCGTCCGTCAATACCCACCGGCTGCGTTTGCTGTGCGGTGCGGTGCAGCTCTGCCGAAAGACATCTCGGTGCACTGCCATGATTAATATCTCCTCGTCCATGGTGTTCACGGGGTGAAATGACGTCTGAAAACCTCTGACCTGTTGACTTCAGGCCTGCCTATGCCCATTATGTAGTTTTTAAGGTGTAGTGCAGGGAAATATGATCCGCCGTGAACACTATGTATTTTATTTTGAAAATTAACCGGATGTTTTATTGTGTTTCTGTGCACGAGTTCCTGCCCCGCACGATCTGCTCTGTGCTGAATTGCTGCGTTGTGCTCCGGTGTCCGGCAAAAATAGAAGTCCTGCGTATCTGTTGCGGAGGGCTCCGGAGTGCCGGAGCTGAGACGGAGCTGGAACGCAGCACAGCCGCAGCTGGTGGAAACAAACACATTGACTAGAATGGAATCCTATCGGCTCCGCTGCCGTGCCGGAGCACAGACGCAACCAACACGCATCTGGTGGAAATTGGCCTTTAGGCCATTAACTAATCCATGTATGTCATGTATGATTTTGTATTAATTTTATTATCATGGAAGATTTTTTTGTGACAATTTATCTCTCTCTTTATAGCAAGCGTCACCGTGATCACACAGGCGAGATGGGTGCCAAGCGTCACCCTGATTTCATTAACCGATCAGTGAATACCTTTCATATGGGATGCACTAATAATGGCCCTCTTATCAGGTTTAATTTGCTGTGTCTTGTCTGGAAGTATTGTGAATTGTAAGTGCCCCTTTGAACCAGGGTCAGCGCCCCCGTCATTCAAGCCTCGTAGCTTCTTCCTCCAATGTCTCAGGACAGAAAG